AAACAGTTTCGCAGAGGAGCACAGCGAAAAAATGCTATTAACGCCACCGATACTGTCTCTTGCAGTGTGTGTTGGGAATTTCCAAGCTGCAGACTATTAGCGCGTCCATGCATGACTATAAACAATCTGTATCAAAAAAAGAAAATGGTTTCTGTTTTATGGGTCTCTGCCTTTACTATCATAAGAAAGTGAAAAATAAATCGGTCGATGCTCCGCTCTACGTGCACTGTAGTCATTAGCTATGGGTCACGCACACTCCACTCGCCGCTATGAAAGCCGTTGGAAGGGACAAAATCGAGAACCGCATTTCGCAACACAATATAGCTCCACTTCACTAACAACGAACACAAACAGAACGAGCGTCATTCTACTTTGGCATGATCCAGACATGGATTTAGGTCTAGAACATGAAGAAACAAAACTCATGTTATCGAATATAACAGAGAATGTGCGGTTCTATAGACTCGAAGCTGAATTCCTAAACTATCTTAAGGCATCAGAACAAGAACAATCATCTACAAGTGCCCACCTTCGTCGTCGTACATTCATCCTGGTCTTAGCTGGGCGTGTAGCGGAACATGTTCTCACTCAGACACAAAACTCCCGCTCTGTTCAAGCTGTGTACATTCTGTCTGAGGAGAAGTCATCGTACAAACCGCTGAAGAGTAGGTTTCGCAAACTAAGAGGTATCTACAGAAAACGAGCCCACCTAGAACGTGCGCTAAACAGAAACTTACAACACCAGACAGTATATAATTTCTACAACTGGAACACTACTCAAACTTCCACTTGGGATTTAACTATGAGAAAAGCTGAGTTTCTCTGGTTCCAGCTGGTGCAAAAGGTACTGCTCGATGAAGTCTCTTCCAGTTCTCCGGAAGCCAAATGCGACTTCATTTCTATATGTCGTGACTATTGTGACGAACGCTGCAAGATAAATCGCCTCTATTTGAGCTATCTTGAAAATGACTATCAGGCAGAAGATGCTATAAGGGAATATAGAAAAGCGAACTTTCTGCACAAGTTAGTTAATGGTGCACTGCGTACGGAAGATACTGAAGAAGTGTACAGATTTCGATGGTATCTAGCACAGCTCTGCAGGAATCTCGAGCAGGAAGCTGAGTGCTATCGAAGTAGGCAACAGGAGGCAGAAATGAGCGTGTTTACAGTCTATCGTGGTCAACGTTGCTCGCCAGAGGAACTGGAGCGAATTGGTGGCGGCATCGGTTTCATAGCTACTAATGGGTTTCTCTCGACTACACTTAACAGAAGGTTGGCTGAAACTTTTGCCGGATCTGCAAATGACCCTCAAGATGACGATTCTGTTGCAGTTCTCTTTGAAATTACGGTTGACTTGAATCAGATCTCATCGACTGTCTTAGCGTACATTTCGCACTTGGGCAATTTAGACAAGGAAGAAGACGACGAAGAAGACAACGAAGAAGAAGTTCTGTTTGGACTGGGCGCTCGATTCAAAAGGGAAGGCAGGTGTGTACAGGATGAAGAGGGCCGATGGATCGTTAAAATGCAGGCAACAGATCGCGGACAGGAGATTGCTAGCGACTATGTATCTCACTGGCTAACTGAAATGTCAAACTTCTCATCACCGTCGTCGCTACACTCCACTTCCCTCAAAATGATTCTATCTCAACTGCTGATAGAAATGGGCAAGTACGAGAAAGCGATTAAATTTTTAGATCTGATTCTGCCTACAACAGATGAAGAACGAGCAAATCGCTGCTTTGGTTTGGCGGATGCGAAACTATCGTGCTTCGAGGATCAAGACAGACTTACAGCAGTGGGCGAAGCAGTCGCCTTACTAACTGAAGCACTCGGTTTATTTGTTTCATCAAAGAATCAGCTGGGAGCTGCCAATACTCAACGACGATTGGCGGACGCCTTTGTATTGAGGGAGGAGTACAAACTGGCTAAGGACAACTATCACCAAGCACATCGGATCTACAGTGAGATTCGCGGACAAGAAGCCAATATCGCAAGCTGTATAAATGGTCTAGGTGATGTGTACTTGGGAGAGAAAAGTTATGAGCAGGCTGGAAAACTATACCAAGATGCACTAAAGAAACGTCGTCAGTGTTTGCCCGATGAACATCCGGCAATCGCAAGAAGTTACTACAGTTTAGGAAGGTACTATTATTTCAAGGGAAATAATGAAGAGAACGCACGGACGATGGTCAAAGAAGCTATGGTGCGAAAGAGGAAAATCTATCCACCAGAGCATCCGTCTATTCTGCGCAATACTCGTTTCCTGAAAACAGTTTTAGCCGCAGAGAAAGCAGCACGTAATTAACAACACCGGCCTTTGGTAAAGAGACTTCGGTGAAGGTACCTACTCTTCCAAGTGAACTGCGCATGTCTCTTTCACTATTCGGTCGAAACACTTCGAAGTGGCGTTTAGACAAATCTAAAAACTTAGATTGTCACTGAAAACATTTTGTTTTTCTGTCGAGGGTCGTTGTCGTTTTATTGCGATCTGTTCAAGGTCTTCGCGTCTTCAAAATCACTTAAGAGAACGGGAGCGTTTTCTGAACTCCACGCAGTTTTGTTCAACCTTTAGTAAATGTACTTTACATCTGCCCTCTTCTCCTCTTTTTCCTTGGTTTTTTTTGTCTCCTTTAATACAATTTCATCACAAGTCGACAAGGTCAACAGTTGATGTACGTTTTTCAATGCAACGTTCGTCTTTTTTCAAACAAATGCAGCAAACTTGTGTAAAATGCAGAATTGACTACGATATGTTTGGGATATATTGAATATAATTTTTATTCCCAAAGGCCTAAAAAATGAAAAATGTTTTTTCGCGATGAATTTTGTAATAAATGTTATATTTTAGCTAAAAAGATATTTAATTCAGGACCTGTCTTTTTCTTCTTTGCAAAATTCACAGATCCCGTAACGATGAACTGCAGGCGCTCCCAAAATTCCCTTCGTGAGCTTCGTCTGATTCCCTCATCATTGAACGGTAATCACGCCCACTGCCCGTGTTGCAACCAGCTAGTGAATGAGTATCGTCATGAACGTGATGAGATAACTGATTTCTAAAGAATAAAATCATTCGATTTTAGATCTTTTCTGACTTGGCATAGGGATTGGCCAAGTTGCATTTACTCTCGAGAATATTTTTCCATGTTTAAAACGGACATGTCGAAAGAGTACCATAGTATCGATGCTCGTTTGAGCCACGGTGCCGTTTGTTGTTCTAGCGCTCACCACTTTGTTCAACTACCTACTAACCACATAGAAAATGATAAGAAGAATGCTATGGTTAGTTCCGTGGATGTGAGAGAAATGGATCCATTGACGGTGCACTACTGTCCGCATACAGGGAAAGCGCTGTCAGGTGACTCTGCAATGCTCTTCTCTTGCAAAAATTCAAAGCGACAATGATCACAAAGACAACTTCAAAACGATCGGGACACTATTCGCTGCTTTGGCATTTACCAAGAAAGACAGAGTTAAGGCACGCCAATCAACACATCTCAGTCCACACCGTGCAAGGGTGTTATCATTCCTTGTTAGGACTGTAAAAGTTCCCCGTTACTTCTTCGGACATTATCGACAACATTATCAACACTCATTTTCTCGGATGTTACTACTGCAAGGTGATATTTCGGCATCGACGGATAGGCTCGATCCATCTAAAACCTACCACCATTTACATCGACCGTTGACATTAGTGACCAGATTGTCTCATAT